GATTATTTTCTTGACACAAACAAGAGATTCGCATTATTATACAATGATAGTCTGGCATTCTGGCGAACATGGAAGTCTAATGGTTTCAGTTATCGTACATGACCTCTGTGCAAAAATGATACACACAAAACAAGTTCCAATTTTTAATATAAAAAAGGTAAAAAATTATAATGTTTCATGTTATTCGTCATTGACAGTTTCTAAAGTCCAAGACAAAATAAGGCAGGAAGCACATTGAATCTATTGATTACATTATTACATCCAGCATGTTTTTATGTCATGTTTCGTTCAGGGTTTTTAATGCGATATCTCACCCACCGTTGTTTTGAAGCAAGCGTGCTTTACTGTAATCGGTCGTTTCCAGCGTGTTTTACTGTAATCGGTTGTTTCCAGCGTGCTTTACTGCAATCGGTCGTTTCCAGCGTGTTTTACTGTAATCGGTTGTTTCCAGCGTGTTTTTCTGTAACCAGTTGTTTCCAGCGTGTTTTACTGTAATCGCTTGTTTCCAGTGTGTTTTAATGCAATCGTTTGTTTAAATCAAGAATTGCCCTCTGTACAGGTATGTACATGTTTAAATTACCGGCCCCTTTTCACCCATGAAGATCCGGGTTAGAATTTGTTTTCAGCAACCCATGCTTGTTGTAAAAGGCGACCAACGAGATCGGGTGGTCAGGCTCGCCCGACTTGGTTGATGCATGTCATGCTCAATCACTGTTATGAAATCAATCTTTGCTGGAAATGTTGTTTTTTTTCAAGGCCGGTCCACACCGAAGAGGAACTGCTCAGCACGTCGTCATAAAACATATGTCGTCAGTGTTTTTAGCAACCGAGTCTGACGCAGCCCGTGGACATTCGAGTTTGGCGATCAATTAAAAAGTGATTTTGTGCTACTAGCGAAAAACACGACGGGGATAATATCACGGATTCAGGATCTACCATTTCTATTTGTGTTCTCCAATGGAGATGTCATCCTTTTTAGGTTTTACGGCCACCTCTGAGCTGTTCATTTTCGTGGTCTGAGTGTTTTCTGTTAAGTTAAAATTTCAAAAGCCAGCGTTTTAAGAAAACTTTGTGTTTTGTGTACAGTTAAAATAAAACACAAAGCGTTCTTAAAACAGATGATTAAAATAATAAAAGGTTGGTTTGTTTCGATACAGACGTGATAGGTACACTTTCCTGTTGTAATTGGAATGGGTACAATGTGAGAGAGCATGGAATTCATTCGCCATTCCGTTCATGTTGGTGGGTTCCTGTGAAGGTGTTTCCAGTTGTCTTAGACGCGTCCTGCAACAAGGTTGCTCGAGTACTGATGATATCGCGGCTGATGTCAATCATGAAAGAGCACTTTCAGTTTAATTTGATTGTGCAGATTATTTTAGCGTCATGTCAGTCAATCTTGACTCTAAATGAAGGTATGGGGGCGAATGGGTCATAGCAGAGTGGAGATATTGAGGCTATTTCATATGTCGTGAAAATATCTCCTTTCCCCCGTCACTCGATGAGAGAAACATGTTATTTTACACGACACATAGAATTTCTAATATATTATATACCTGTTGTGTAGGTGTCAGCCGGAAAATTAATTTTGTTTATTACAAATATAAAAAGAGACATTTTCACCTAATATCAAAACATTTTCAAGAGAATAACAAGCGTCAAGAAGCGATATTACCCCATAAATGACCATCTGTCGTAATTTTGCCTTGTCAATGTGGAACTAATGTGAAAAGGCAATCAACAGTTTATGTGAGGGATAGACACTGAAGTGTGTAATACACTTGATAATGGAGGGTGTATTAATACTGATAATGTGATTTATTCAATGTCAGGTATGATGTTGAGATTGTTTTACAAGTTATGAGACATGACCAGTAACACCTGGTACCGCCATTATTGTGTGCATACCTCGTGGGTAGTATTAAGTTTCGCCTACGTTTTCCATTTCTAGTATGTTAGCGTGGTTCTAATAAGCATCGTGGTCGTTGAACCAAATCAGTGTGCAAGGGAGATTCCGTCAGGGACAGCAACTAAAATAGAGGCTGCAATCCGTACATTACATCAGACTGGTAAACTATGTTTACCTGTAATGGTTTATTATAAGCCAACAAAGTACGATATCAGCGGGAAACAGAAAATATGACTTTCCAGTCAGCACCCGTGGTTAACGTTTAGGATATGCATAGCTTTGGGCTTTCATCTCACTAAATAACTCGCTGTTACTTAGCTTTGCTGTTATCTTGTTCAAGACATTGTGCATTGTTCCAAGTACAGAATCCAAAATAAAATATCAACACCAGAGAATATGAATACACAATGCCATTAAGAAAGTGGTCAAAGTAACAAATGTTATATTTGGGATGTCATTAGGGACGGGACTCAACCCCCCAAAAAGTACGAGAATATGTACTTAATAAGAAAGTGTTATCCCAAATATAACATTTGTTACCAGAGAATAGCCAGTTTCATTAAAACAACGACGAAACAAGATTCCAACAAGATTTGAAGACAGCCAGTGCCATAAGGTGTAGTGCAATAAGGGTAAATAAATGATAGATACGACATGTCAGACACTCACGCTGGAAAGAACCACCACACAAATGCCACGACTGACACCCGAACAACGCCAACCGGCCCTGGGTATGATACAGATGGGACCTACCCACCATGCCCACAATGCTAGAACATTTTGTTGTTTCTGCTGTAGCTAAACTGATGCAACGTTACAGACAGACAGGGCAGACGTGTATACCGCCGCCGAAGGGGAGAGCAAACGGCGGCATGTTGCGTTCAGGAGGTCGTGCCGTATGGTGGATGGGGTGTTATGGTGTGGGGAGGAATTTGTGGGCAGGAGGTGACACCACTGGTCATCATTAACGGAAGTTTGACAGCTCAGCGTTACAAGGATGACAATCTTCGTACGATTGCCCTACCATTTCTACAATAGCTGCCACGTGACAAGCATTGACAAACATGACAACACCTGACTCCATACAGCCCGATCGTACAGAACGTCCTGACATCCAACAACGTCAACCGACGTATCCCACGTCAAGTCATCAGACGACTGACTTTTTCTGTGCACCGGAGAGTTTTGAGGTGTCTTGTAGCAGGGAGTGGTCATACACGCTATTAATGCGATGTGTCATTAAACTTGGGCGATATTTGGATGTGTGTGCCCTTTGTCCATCACGTTGAAAACTTGTTTTTGCTATCCCATCTCAATTCGGACAACAGTCATGCTTCTATCTTTTATTTTTTTTAATCTGGAGTAATTTAAAGCTATGGTAAAGTATGTTTTGGTCGTCCGATTAGTTTACATGTGTTTCACTCAGCAGTTTTACAGCTCTATGGTGAGGTGAAATGGGCTTTAACGTCTCGTTCAAGATTGTTGCACCAATATAGTGATGTGCATGTACGTATGTGTGTGGCTCCTTGTACTAGTCCGGACAAACGCCGATTTAAAAGTGCTATACAGGAATACCCCACTCAGACACAGTATATTGACTCCGAGCTGACCAGTCATTGCCCCTGCATGCCGTGCGCCAGGCAGGGTAACAGCAAATACCATTTTAACGTCTTTTGGTATGACGAGGCCGGGGATCGAACCCACGACATTCCACTCTCCTGGCAGACGTTCTATCCACTAAACCATGGAGGAGGTACCAGCGACATAGACCACCAGGATTAGATATTATCCTGCTATTGACGTACGATAATATGCTAGCCCTAAGTTCAGAAATCGGCCCTTTAGTCATAAATCCAGGAAACATGTAGTTCTAAAATGATCTTATTTTACTCTTCTAAAATTCAACTTTTTAAAGTTTTTTACGTCATTCTAAGTTCTTTTAGAATTTCTCCAATACCTTTAAAATGTCCTGATATCGTCCTGACATATATAGACATGCCAGCCAATATTTCAGATACTATCTCTGTCAATAATTCTAAGAATAATGATACCCTCTTTTTGACAAATGACACGAAACCACTCAGCAATGATTTCGTATACATTTGTTGTTTGATTACAATTATAATATTCCTTTTCCCGTAGCTACTGACAAAAACATCATGGTAACACAGGTGCTGTTTTTGACCTTAGACAATACCTCAAAAAAGTATGGAGCTGCAGGATTAAGTAAACGAGCTACGTTTGATGTTTCATCTGAAAATGTTCCTTAAAGTCTCTACATGACAGGTGAAATAGATCACTAGCGGGTATAACCGCCACGTGCCCGGATGACACATTACACCCTACGTCTCATGCCTCCAGTCAGACGTTGGATGTGTTGATGGATCAACAACAACCACTCCTGATGCAATGCTGCTTCCAATTGGCGTAAATCGTGTACAGGAGGATCTTGTGCCTGTATGCCAGCAATGAGCCCAGATTTGAACCCCCTTGAACATATTTGGTATATTCTGGGGCGGCGCATACAGGCACGAGATCCTCCTGTACACGATTTACGCCAATTGGAAGCAGCATTGCATCAGGAGTGGTTGTCTAAGGTCAAAAATAGTACCTGTGTTACCATGATGTTTTTGTCAGTAAATTTCAATCACAACTCACCAATATCTTCTTTGTTTGTTGTCAAATGTTTGTTCTATTCGATGACATTGGTATCGCCCAGCTCCTGTGGTTAGTCATCCAATGCCAGGATTTTTACCATTTGTCATGGTTCAGAAATAGGGGTGTGCTTAACTTTTTTACATTGTGTATATTTTGATACGAGATGCATAATCAGAAAAGAATGGAAGAGGGATTATTGCCTTCAAAATCATTTGTTCAGTATTAATTTCAATAAAATGAATATTTGTGCATTCGCTTATTGGTTAACGGGGCTTTTGCGCTGATATTAGCGAAGTCAATAACAGTCCAGCTGTGTTACAATGGCATTCATTTACTCCTATATGACACATTATAAAAGAATTTCCCAGCTGTAAATGACAAGTGATTGGGCCACCTGATAGCAATGAGATTCTTCAACAATCATCATTGAGTCAGAATGTCTGATCACATCAACAAGTACGACTATGTCCGCTTCTCTGTTGCTGATATGCACGGAAGATCAAGAGGAAGAGTTGTTCCCGCAAGACACGTGAAGCGATATTTGAAGAAGGGGGTCACACTTTTCGCAGGTAAAACCACTAATTATTACAGTAGTATATGGAAGTATATATATCAAAATATTTACAAAATGCCAGTATTATGATCGATAATGAGATCAAATGACGTATTATCGAGAATTAAGGAATTGCAAGATCTACCGCCACATATTATTGCCCGCCACAAAGGTTTGGGTTCTGTTCGTTTTGCTTCAACCACTTGTACATGGATGACATTTTGCATTTATCATAAAGGGATGAATGTGCAATCTCATTAAAATTAGATCTTTACGCTCATCTCACAGTGTGGAGATCTGATGATACCTCCATAGAAGATCGTGTCAGATGAACCCTGGGAGAACTTTGATTTCTAAATAAAGGATGCGGTTTTTTAGATAATCAGATTTCAGATTTTCAAAAACATTCGACTTCTTTTCTTTACCACCTCCATTCGATATTTTTTATTTAACAAGGAAGCCAGCAGAGAGCACACATATACCTTGGATGGTGCTCCATTCTGGGTTTAGAAGTCATGGCGTTCAGAAGCGACAGGGTGTATTAAATGTCCACAACAATATAGTGGCATCTAAATACATGTAGACCTTTCAGTTCATTTACGTTTTTCAGGTCGTTTGCCGCCACGCCACCCACATTTAAAAATATGCTAATGTCCATTACTCAGTCTTTCTTGTTCAAAATGCCATGACATTTGGTATGTGTAGTGAGTAGTGGGGCTAAATATATATGTTCTCTTTTGACCTTGTTTTGACCATGCTCAAGACGTGTTTTTATCGCAAGCTACTTCTTTCAGGTGCCTTATCCTTCGACCTCAACAATGAAGATACAATCATTCCATCACCTTTGCTCAAGGATGGAAGGCAGCCGAAGGTCTATGCACACCCTGACCTCAACACATTGTATAATGTGTCCTGGTCTGGAAAAGATGATGTCTTGGTAGCTGAGGTTATCTGCGAGAGCTACTGGTTAAAGGACGGATCGGCACAGCAAGCATGTCCTCGATACGTTGCTAGACAGCAACTAGAAAGGTTGGCCAGTAGTGGATATAGTTTTTTTTCTGGATTCGAACTTGAGTTTACACTGACAAAAGTTGAAAATACATTATCTCTGCAAAAAGGCTACGGGAGTCAAAGGTTCGTCAGCAAGCACAGCGACTTCCTCTTTTACTTTGATAAGCATATGTCCCAAGCAGGGGTTGATATAGATTCTTTTCATTCTGAATATGCGGGAAGTTCTATAGAAATGGTAAAAAGGCCATATGATGGTATCAAAAGTGCTGATTCTTGTGTTGTCCTAAAGAATGGAATTCTAGAAATGGGGGATAAGAAAGATTATAGAATCAGTTTCGACGCCAAGCAAGAAAGCGGAACAGTTGGTATGCACTTCAACCATTCTCTATGGTCTCTTTCCAAGGGCATCAATATTTTCCACAATCCCGATGGACTACATGGTCTTAGTACTTTGGGGAAACACTGGTTGGGGGGACTGATGAAACATGCCAAAGCTCTGACTGCCCTCTGGTGCCCAACTGCCAACTGTTACGATCGCTTGCACGAACCGGATCGTCCTGGGCTTATCTTCTGGAGCAATGATATAGGCGCTGCTTGCTTCAAAGTCAAGTCTTTGGAAACTGGAACATATCTGGAAAATCGCATTCCCAGTGGAATGAGCAACCCCTACATCACTCTGGCGGCAACCATAGCTGCAGGTCTTGATGGGATTGTAAAGAAGCTGGAATGTCCGCCTGTAGATCAATCATCTTCTTGTGCCCTTCCATGTACTCTGTCAGAGGCTATTAAGGAGCTTCAGGGAGATACGGATATGGTAAATAGCCTTGGAAAAGAATTTATTGAATGGTTTGTGTGTACCATTAAGACAGACATTGAATCTAATGTTGTTTAACATAGGAGCATCACCGTCTACAACATGAGGAAGGTCGTTTTCGTCCCCAAGTGTGTCTACATGTCAAATACGAGTATATATTCAAACAAATGTGTATCAAATGATCGAGGACTGTGGTGACAAAAGGAATATTATAATTGTAATCAAACCACAAATGTATACGAAATCATTGCTGAGTTGTTTTGTGTCATTTGTCAAAAAGAGGGTATTATTATTCTTAGATTAATTGACAGAGCTACATGTAGTATCTGAAATATTGGCTTGAATGTCTATATATGTCAGCAAGATAACAGGACATTTTAAAGGTATTGGAGATATTCTAATAGAACTTAGCATGACGTCAAAAACTTTGAAAAGTTGAATTTTAGAAGAGTAAAATAAGATCATTTACAATTTTTAAAGATTTTAGAACTACATGTTTACTGGATTTATGACCAAAGCGCTGATTTCTGAACTCTGGGCTTGCACATTATTGTAAGTCAATAGCAGTATAATATCTAATCCTGGGGGTCTATGTCGCTGATACCACCTCCATGGTTTAGTGGATAGAACGTCTGCCAGGAGAGTGGAAGGTCGTGGGTTCGATCCCCGGCCTCGTCATACCAAAAGACGTTAAAATGGTATTTGCTGTTACCCTGCCTGGCGCACGGCATGCAGGGGCAATGACTGGTCAGCTCGGAGTCAATATACTGTGTCTGAGTGGGGTATTCCTGTATAGCACTTTTAAATCGGCGTTTGTCCGGACTAGTACAAGGAGCCACACACATACGTACATGCACATCACTATATTGGTGCAACAATCTTGAACGAGACGTTAAAGCCCATTTCACCTCACCATAGAGCTGTAAAACTGCTGAGTGAAACACATGTAAACTAATCGGACGACCAAAACATACTTTACCATAGCTTTAAATTACTCCAGATTAAAAAAAATAAAAGATGTCCGAATTGAGATGGGATAGCAAAAACAAGTTTTCAACGTAATGGACAAAGGGCACACACATCCAAATATCGCCCAAGTTTAATGACACATCGCATTAATAGCGTGTATGACCACTCCCTGCTACAAGACACGTCAAAACTCTCCGGCGCACAGAAAAAGTCAGTCGTCTGATGACTTGACGTGGGATACGTTGGTTGGCTAAATAACTGGAGGATGTGGAAACAACGATTCATGACATGCCAGGGGTGTTCTACGGGGGACATGTCTGGGGAGCTGCAGGCCACGGCAACACGTTGACGTTGTTGGATGTAAGGACGTTCTGTACGATCGGGGTGTATGGAGTCAGGTGTTGTCATGTTTGTCAATGCTTGTCACGTGGCAGCTATTGTAGAAATGGTAGGGCAATCGTACGAAGATTGTCATCCTTGTAACGCTGAGCTGTCAAACTTCCGTTAGTGATGACCAGTGGTGTCACCTCCTGGGTAGGTCCCATCTGTATCATACCCAGGGCCCGTTCGCGTTGTTCGGGTGTCAGTCGTGGCATTTGTGTGGTGGTTCTTTCCAGCGTGAGTGTCTGACATGTCGTATGTATCATTTATTTACCCTCATTGCACGTTTCGGCTGTCATCAAATCTTGTTGGAATCTTGTTTCGTCGTTGTTTTATTAAAACTGGCTATTCTCTGGTGTTGATGTTTTATTATGGATTCTGTACTTGGAACAATGAACAATGTCTTGAACAAGATAACAGCAAACTAAGTAACAGCGAGTTACTTAGTGAGATGAAAGCCCAAAGCTATGCATATCCTAGACGTTAACCACGGGTGGTGACTGGAAACATGATATTTCACTCGACACGTGAAATATCCCATATATCTCCACTCTGCTTTGACCCATTCGCCCTCATACCTTCTTTTAGAATCAAGTTTGACTGACATGACGTTAAAAAAATCTGCACAATCAATTTAAACTGAAAGTGCTCTTTCACACAGGAATCCACCCACAGGAACGGAATGGCGAATGAATTCCATGCTCTCTCACATTGTACCCATTCCAATTACTACAGGAAAGTGTACCTATCACGTCTGTATCGAAACAAACCCAACATTCATTATTTTAATCATCTGTTTTAAGAACACTTTGTGTTTTATTTTAACTGTACACAAAACACAAAGTTTTCTTAAAACGCTGGCTTTTGAAATTTTAACTTAACAGAAAACACTCAGACCACGAAAATGAGCAGTTCAGAGGTGGCCGTAAAACCTATAAAGGATGACATCTCCATTGGAGAACACAAATAGAAATGGTAGATCCTGAATCCGTGATAGTATCCCCGTCGTGAAAGTACAGCCAGTAGCACAAAATCACTTTTTAATTGATCGCCAAACTCGAATGTCCACGGGTTGCGTCAGACTCGGTTGCTAAAAACATTGACGACATATGTTTTATGACGACGTCCTGAGCAGTGCCACTTGGGTGTGGGCCGGCCTTGAAAAAAACAACATTTCCAGCAAAGATTGATTTCATAACAGTGATTGAGCATGACATGCATCAACCAAGTCAGCGAGCCTGACCACCCGATCTCGTTGGTCGCCTTTTACAACAAGCATGGGTTGCTGAAAACAAATTCTAACCCGGATCTTCATGGTGAAAAGGGGCCGGTAATTTAAACATGTACATACCTGTACAGAGGACACCTCTTGATTTACCTGGTTAAACTTGGTCCCAAGGAGCAACTTTGGTAAGAGGTGACTTAATGGATCGGACTTTCGGACTCGGCGATTAGGTTGGTTGGTTGGTTGGTTTGTTGTTTAACGCCGCACTCAGCAATATTCCAGCTATATGACGGCGGTCTGTAAAAAATCGAGTCTGGACCAGGTGATTTGGTTGAATGGTATTACGGTTCACTATTTGATCGCGATTTATGATCATGATATCGTGTGAATCGTACAATCGTAGGTAGTATTATGAATATGGAATGAGTTTCGTCACTTGTAGTTACTTTATTTCTTTGATGGGGATAGACCATTGTGGATACAACTCATTTCACTCAAAGGTAGAATTCTTATACAGATCGTTTCTGATATCAATACACCTTCATGCGAAAATATGCTGATTGATAATCCTATTAGTGTTTTTAAAAGGTATTGACCCAATACATTATACATATTGTTACCATTCGACTGTAAGAATAAGATAATAAGAAATCTGTGCGAAAAAGAATTCAGTGTGAAACCAACCAACAACAAAGAAATGTTATACAATTAACAATCGTATTTTATAATTAACTAGGTTTACAAATCATTAACACCAATCACAGTTGCAGTTTACAATAGTGGCAGAACAATATTTAATGCCAGTGCTACTACAATGGCAGTATAAAATGTAATAGCAGCGATAATAGCTCAGATGTTAGTGATAATAATATTCACATAGCAGCAGATTTTCTCAAACTTCCAAAATAGCCGTAGGCTGGATTTCCAGAGTGAAAACAATGATCGTCACACATCTGCTGGTCTTCATGTAATGTGAGACAAGGGAGGCATGCCGCTGCCCCCTTTATGGTCTAAATACTTTGTATAAGGTTCTATACAGTGCTGGATTAGTCTAGCTGTTAAAGAACATACCAGATTACACTTGACTCCAAAAGAACTGCTTACATTAGATAGCACTACATTCCTGTCAACTAACCATTTTCAAAACAATGCTACGAACTTCTACTGAAACTAAACAGAAACAATGTAAGACAATGTAAACGTTGTTTAAACATAAATTACACTGCCATATGACAATATATTACGTTCAAACGTCTTTCAGATTACTAACATAAGTAGTCAGATTTGTTCAATAGATTATAATTTGAACGCGACGTTAAACCCCAATTTCACCTCATGTAGCACATTTCACAGAAAGTTACTCAACCCATTATTTTTCAAAAGGTCACTGAAGCTGACGTAAAATTTCATTTAGGTATGTTCTGGCAAATCACTTGCAAGGAAAAATGGCTCCCTCTAATTATTGTCGTGAAATTAGATGAAAATGTAGGCATTCAAGGCTACTTAACAATGTAATTGTTATATTTCATAAAAAGACTCCGTGTATACAAGTCTACTAGACTTTAAGGTCGTAATTTACAATTTGCACGTGCACATAGATATGCTACAAACAGGAATGGTGCAAAACGAAGTTGCCAGATATTTTAATTTTCATCGAAACAGAATATCACCTCTTTGGAGACGTTATCTACAGCAGGAAAACACTCATGACTTGCCGCTGTCCGGTCGTCCACATGTGGCGTCACCTCAAGATAACTATATTGTACAATAAATGCACTTTTCTAATGCGTCAATTCAATGCACTGGCACATGCTCACAGAGCTGAAAAAACGTAGATATTACGAAGAACAGAAACTTTAACTCAGGAATAGTAGGTAACGAAAATATGTGTTTTCAATTTCGAGCAACAAGTGACAAAGCTGATTTGAAGTGTGTTGCTGTATTTAGGATTATATTTTTTAATTTTGAGAGATATTTCTTACTAATACCAGATGGAATGTCACAGGAATCAAGTCGAGAAATCACTAGTGACTGGTCAAGGGCACGTGCTGCAGCTGTCGTGATCAGCTTCCTGATGCCGCCAGTGGCACGAAAATGTTAGTACTACTACCTACGAAAGTACCTACTAAGTAACTAAGGTACGTACTAAGTTACTAAGGTAACTACTAAGTTACTAAGGTACCTACTAAGTTACTAAGGTACCTACTAAGTTACTAAGGTACCTTCTAAGTTACTAAGGTACCTTCTAAGTTACTGAGGTACCTACTAAGTTACTGAGGTACCTTCTATGTTACTGAGGTACCTTCTAAGTTACTGAGGTACCTACTAAGTTACTGAGGTACCTTCTAAGTTACTCAGGTACCTTCAAAGTTACTAAGGTAACTACTAAGTTACTAAGGTACCTTCTAAGTTACTAGTGGTAACTACTAAGTTACTGAGGTACCTTCTAAGTTACTAAGGTACCTACTACGTTACTAAGGTACCTTCTAAGTTACCTACTAAGTTGCTGAAGTACCTACTAAATTACTAAGGTACCTACTAAGTTACTAAGGTACCTACTAAGTTACTAAGGTACCTACTAAGTTACTGAGGTACCTTCTAAGTTACTGAGGTACCTTCTAAGTTACTGAGGTACCTACTAAGTTACTGAGGTACCTTCAAAGTTACTAAGGTAACTACTACGTTACTAAGGTACCTACTAAGTTACTAGTGGTACCTACTAAGTTCCTGAGGTACCTCCTAAGTTACTGAGGTACCTTCTAAGTTACTGAGGTACCTTCTAAGTTACTGAGGTACCTACTAAGTTACTCAGGTACCTTCAAAGTTACTAAGGTAACTACTAAGTTACTAAGGTACCTACTAAGTTACTAGTGGTAACTACTAAGTTACCGAGGTACCTTCTAAGTTACTAAGGTACCTACTACGTTACTAAGGTACCTTCTAAGTTACTGAGGTACCTACTAAGTTACTGAAGTACCTACTAAATTACTAAGGTACCTACTAAGTTACTAAGGTAACTACTAAGTTACTAAGGTACCTACTAAGTTACTGAGGGACCTTCTAAGTTACTAAGGTACCTACTAAGTTACTGAGGTACCTTCTAAGTTACTAAGGTACCTTCTAAGTTACTAAGGTACCTACTAAGTTACTGAGGTACCTACTAAGCTACTAAGGTACCTTCTAAGTTACTAAGGTACCTACTAAGTTACTGAGGTACCTACTAAGTTACTGAGGTACCTACTAAGTTACTGAGGTACCTTCTAAGTTACTGAGGTACCTTCTAAGTTATTGAGGTACCTAATAAGTTACTGAGGTACCTACTAAGTTACTAAGGTACCTACTTAGTTACTTAGGTACCCGCTAAGTTGCCTGACTTGTTGTTTCATGGTCAGCTTAGAATCAATATGGACTCCTAGGTCTTCAACGTGAGCTTACATTTTAATCTGTGCATCCTCAACAGTGAAAGTCTTGTAATCAAATTGGCTGAGATGGTGTTCTCTGCCAACTACCATGATTTCAGTTTTCTCCGCATTGAGCTGCAGCATAATGCTTGACATCAAATTCTTGATGCATTTTGTACAGTCTGTGGTACGTTGGAATGACTCCAGATGATTTCCTTTGTCAAAGGTGTCGTTAGCTGAGTGTCATTGGCAAATGAATGCTGAGTGGTGTCATACTTGACAATGATGTCTGCCACACTTGTGGTATAAATGATGAACAGCACTGGTCCCGAGATTGATCCTTGAGGGACACCATAGTGTAGGATGGAGCTGCAGGGATCGTTTGTCTTAGATCATGACTGACAGACTTCTTCCCCGTAAGGAGGACTGGAACCACATGTGCAATCTGTCAAGCAAAATATCGCGAACAATTGTATCTAGTGTAGAGGAGAATTTAAGTATAACCAGAGACGCCATCTTGCCTTCATCTGCTGCACATCTGACATAGTTGATCACCTCCAGAACTGTTTCCTTAGTGTGATTTGGCCTATAAGAAGACTAGAATTTATCCAGAATCGAGTTCCTCGAGAGGTGGTCCCCGAGTCATTTACAGCCCCCTCTAGAAGTTGGAATGGTACTGAAGGTTTGATACAGGCCGGCAATGTCGCAGCACATATGGATCAAGGTTGTCCTTCTTGAGTAAAGTTCTGTTTGAAAGAATCCGGGAAAGTTCAACTTTTTAAACTTGTGTTAAATATAGTGGTTATCACAGATAGGAGCAAGTCCAAGTATTTAAGTAATTAAGCTGTCGGGATTGGGTCAGAGACAAACGTTGTCGATTTAAATTCATGAATGATGACCAGAATTTTATTTTCACCGAAGGGGCTTAACTTTGACAACACGTCTCCAAGGAAAGATTGTGTATGACTAACACCATCCCTCTCATCAGGGGCAGATCTCAAACCAGATCGAATCCTCTCAATGTTAGAAAGAAAGAAGGTGTTAAAGGATTCGGCGAGCTCCTAATGATCGTCCGCTGATGGCATTTTAGCGTCTGATTTCTTGCCTAGCAGCTTGTTGATAAAGCTATGCATTTTGCGTGCGTTATGTTTACTTCCCGCAATTCTGGATGTGCAGTGAACCTTTTTTGCCTGACAGATGACCTTAAGCTTGTTGTGTCTTGCAGTTAATTTGCCTATGAACTTCAAGACGTGTCACGCGCCATTATCTCTCTGCTTAGCGCTTTTGCACAACATGCTCTTTACATTATGGTGCGTTTGGTTTGGTGCGTTTTTGGTATGCTCAGAGATTCGTATGTGTGTACATCCATGATTATACATCACGTCGACATGTAGAAATTTTATGTGCATACCCATCAATAATATGGTTATACCATACACTGGACAAACCATTATAGTTTAATTCTTGGAAGTCCTTTTGGAAACGTTTGGAATACAAATAGCTGGGTTGGTTGGTTGGTTTGTTGTTTAACGCCGCACTCAGCAATATTCCAGCTATATGACGGCGGTCTGTAAATAATCGAGTCTTTACCAGACAATCCAGTGATTGATATCATGAGCATCGATCCACGCAATTGGGATCGATGACTTGCATCAACCAAGTCAGCGAGCCTGACCACCCTATCCCGTTAGTCGCCCTTCCGACAAGCATAGTCACCTTTTACGGCAAGCATGGGTTGCTGAAGACCTATTCTACCCCGGAATCTTCACGGGTCACAAATAGCTGGGAAACTCTTGGAAACTGATCTTGTTCGTAAGTGTTCGTGATCGCTTCTAGAAAAGAAAATCTACACTAATTTCAACATTTTATGAAATATGTTTGTAAAATCCTTGTGAGCTGTTTAAAAAAAATTGACTTGCATGACCCGCAGAGAAACGATATCTCTCTTATCGACATTATGTCTTACATTTACCTGTGTGGAGAGCCAACTGCCTCGAGCTTTGGACATTATAAACAGCAGGGCAAAAGAACGTATACGCCCATGTTTCATGGCGGCTGATAATGAAACAAACAAGAAAAGGTTACAAAGTATAGACAATTTTTGGATAACAACTTATTTATTTACTGTCAAGGCTTTACAGTAAATAATGAAGTTGTTATCCATAAATTGTCTCCACTTTGTCATCCGTCAAAATAATGCTTATCAAACAATTCAAGAAAAGGTTATTCGATCAGAATGGATTTGAAACGGGTTTCACAGTTGTGTTTTGGACCTTAAGTTTGCAATGTTTCGCTGACTAATTTCAGCCAAGTAACGATTTGGCCTAATCCAATTTTCAAGTGTATACTTTCTTTTCCCAGCAATTTTTTTACATTTTTTGGAGAAGATGCTGCAAAAAGAACATCCTCGATTATACAGCGCATTATATTTCTATTCCAAAATGTTAACTATTTATCATCGGACAGGGGATATAATAAATAGATGAAATAATAAAAACATCTACCCCTTTGTCCTGGGACGACGCCAAATGAAATCTATTTTCGGCAGATAATCGGGATCATTCGGCGTTGTTGTTTTATATTTGCCTACCTGTTGCGCAATGTGAAGATCAAGGTCATTGTGCAGCTGGCTCAGAACTCAAACCAGATATTAAGCAATGTTAAGATGACGTAGGCATTTTCAAATTTTGCAAGTCATAAGCTTCATTTAAGGGTTGTATCAGCAGAAGGCCTGAAATGGCATCGGTTTTAGTAGATACCAGTGGCATGAGCAGATGAAGAGATGATGTTCGCTGCGCATGCTTAACTCATGTAGGTAACCCTATATGTTTGTTTGTTTTTTATATGCCTCAGTATACAATATTTAAGCTGGTTCACGACGGCCTGTAAAACACTGAGACTGGACGAGGCAAAACAGTGTTTAATATTATATAAGATCTAAAACTACGCTAGAGAAGAATTATCCAACCAAACAGATTCCATTTGGCGGAAAAGGCAAAATAGCCGTAAACTTATGTAAATGGATCACTGAAAATTATAGATGAAACGCGTTGTTCTCGAAAAGGGTAACCATGTCCTGTCCTACCGGTATACTGTGTCTGAGTGGGGTTATTCATGTTAAACTGCGGCATGGTATCATGTGTTAGCACTATAAATCGGCATCAGTCCGGACTAGTACAAGCAGCCACACACACACACGTGCATGCACACCGCTATATAAGTGCTATAATCTTGGACGCGACGTTAAACCCAATTTCACCTCACCTCACCTAAAGACCGTCGGCCGTCATAATGCTGGAATATTACCGAGTACGGAGTTACAAAACAAACAAATAAATACAATTTATATGACAAACTAAATTTTGTATTTTTTCTTTCCTATCGCCGCACAGCAATACTCCTGTCTTATAACGCCGCTCCCAAAACTTTCACCGAGAGATACCAGAAGACCAGTGTCCATACAACTAGAACACATGTCTCTTGGCATGACGATCTCACGTCTTTGTCACCAAATAACAACAGTGTCTACAGGGATTGGTGGGATGGGTGACAAACAGTTGGTGCCATGTATTTTTGTACAAGAGGTCATCTCGGGATTATCACAGATAACGCAACCTGGTGCCTTCATTGCTAAAGGTGGATATATTATATCAACATCAACCAGAACGTAATCTGAAAGCAACACGGGTGTGAATAAAGTTTATCTGCCGCAACCCGTATTATTGTTTACTACATATTGATACTTTTGATTTACACTGGGTGCAATACCTATGGAAGTATACATGTCAACGTCATGAAAGCCATATCTGAATCCATATTTTTCAAACTACAGTAAACTTCGTTTATGACAAACACGCTTATAACGAACTGACTGATATAACGAACTGTATTTTGGTCCCGTCAATTTTCTTGATTATATGCTTATAACGAACTACGGTTACAACGAACTAAAAGTAGTGGTCCCTTTGAGTTCGATATAACCGTAGTTAACCGTATTTCAATTTAAGTAGTTGGTTATAACTGAAGGATGAGTGCACTTTAAAATAACTTTAGTAGAATACCTTAACCGTTAAGAGTGAGTTAGTTGTGTATTTACGCCGCTTTTAACATTCCAGCAAAAATATCACGGCGGGGACACCAGAAATGAGCTTCACACATTGTACCAATTATGGGAATCGAACCCAGGTCTTCTGCGTGACGAACGAACGTTTTACCCATTAGGCTACCCCAGCCCAATCTTAACCGTAAAGAAAAAAAGTACGAAACAGTATGGGTTATCTGTAAGTCCATGCCTTCATTGCGTGGGTATGTCATGGGCATCTATCAAATTAGGTTACACAGCAGGTCAGGGGTTGTGATATATATATGCACCTCATCAGTTTGTCACGTAATACTAAAATACTAAAATAAGGTTTAAAATCAAAATAACCATCTCTGATTAAAAAACAGCATATTTGACGGCCTAATCACCGCGGAGGCCAATATACATATATATATATATATATATATATACATATATATATAGAGAGAGAGAGAGAGAAGAGTATATATATATATATGCCTAAAGAAGAGTTTTCATATATATATCGTATATATATATATATATATATATATATATATATATATATATATATATATATATATATATATATATATATATATATATATATTTATATATGAAAACTCTTCTTTCCGAATCAATTATGATGTGTACGATAATAGGGTACAAATGAAGCACTGGATTCAGCCCATTTTATGGTAGAATAGTATCTACAGGTATCATAGCTGCCTCCTTATTAACATTTTAGTCGACTTGATGTGGTCCTAAATAAAACAACTACTCCTGGTAAATGCTCCCTTTGTCAGTTACATCTATGCAAAAACGAATCGGCCAAATATACTACTAAGATTTTGTAATACGACCAACTACATGTAATTAAAGGGGTATTCACCCGGTACAAGTTGTACCAACTAGTTGTACCGTGTTAATGCTGCTTAGGAAAATATTGACTTTAAAGTATCCTGAAATATTCTGAACTAAAAACGCGCTATGTGTCTTTACTGGCATTTATTATACATGCACAATGTTTCATTCTTCTCCTGATGAAGGTACACGAAGTAGCCATGAGTGAGTTCGGTTTAACGCCGCTTTTAACAGTATTCCAGTTATATCACGGCGTGTCAGCTTAATTTCGGAGGAAAGCCCGAAGAGATGCAGGTCTCAGACGTTTACCACTTCGGTGAAACCAAAGAGCACGGGTATGGTGCTGACAAACCTAGAAACATAATCGGGGCGAACCGGGATTTGAACCCACAATCATAGGTTTCTGGTGTGCCCAAGGGACGCAACTCTGCACAGCGAATCGCCACCCGTGCCCCCGACGTAGCCATGAAGTGTTCTGTATGTAAACTGACGTCCAATAGAAACTTTACCAGAGTTGGAAATCACTCTTGCTAAAAAACAACAAAACATACATGCATGAAGTAAAGTGTATTGAGAAGATCAATATATTAACATGATCAACACTGAAAATGACAATCATACCGCGACCGAGAATGACGTCAGAGCCCCCAAAAGTTGGGTGTGATACAAAACTCGAGCTGTCAGAATCATGGACAATAGGCAGAGTACATAAACAATCGCTCACGTTCAATAACAAGTCATTAGTAGCGTGTGTGACCACCAAATGCCTCAATGCACGCAAAAACTCTTCGACGCACAGAAAAAGTCAGTCGTCTGATGAGGTCACGTGGGATTTGACGCCATACATCTTGGAGGGCCAAGATCAGTTCTTGCCGGTTGGCTGGAGAGTGTGGTCGTTGTCGAACACGACGATCCATCAAGTCCCAGAGGTGTTCTATGGGGGACATGTCGGGTGAGCGTGCAGGCCACGGCAGGACGTTGACGTTGTTGGCTGCTAGGAAGTTGGTGACAAATCTTGCTGTATGGGCTCTAGCGTTGTTATGCTGATAAATGACACCAAGTGGCTGCTGTTGGAGAAATGGTGGGAAAACTGGACGAAGAATGTTATCCATGTAACGCTGAGCAGTCAAGTTTCCGTCAACGATGACCAGCGGTGTCCTCTCCTGCCCACAGATCCCTCCCCACACCATTACACTCCCTCCACCATATGGTACGACCTCCTGCACGCAACACGCAACACTCCCTTCGGCGGTAAACACGTCGTCTTCCATCAGCCCTAAACATACAGAATCGACTTTCGTCAGTGAAGACAACCCTCTGCAAGTCACGTCGTTGTCAACGTCGTACAGTCCAGGCCCATCATCATCGCAGACGACGATGTTGCGCTGTCAATAGCTGTCCTCTGTATGGTCTAAAAGCCCTGATTCCATGAGCCATGAGTCTCCTGGCCACTGTCCGTCGACTAACCCTGTGACCTAAGGCATTTGTCGCCGATGACGTCACTGTCAGGAAGCGATTTCGGAGGTGCAAGGTACGCAAGTTACGGTCATCATAGGGCGTGGTCACCCTGGGTCCGCGATGTCTGTCTGTAACGTTGCATCACGTTGGTAACGGCAACACGGGAGCAACCAAAGGTTCGTGCAATATTGGCGTGGGTGGCTCCCATCTGTACCATACCCAAGGCTCGTTCAGGTTGTTCGACTGTGAGTCGTGGCATTTCTTTCGTGGTTTTTTTTATCACTGTGGATGTCTGAATTGCCGTTGCAATCGTTTTATACCCTTACCCGCACGTGGATTTGCAGTTGCCCGTGGTGCACGTGTTTTTCACTTTTTCGCGTGTTATCTCTCAAAACATGTAACAGACGATTAACATTTTCTGCATACACTATTGTTGTATTTAGGTTATGTGTTTTAGATAGACTTCATCGAAAAAAAAATTATACTTTGTCTGAAATTTATATTTTCAGTTGGTAAAGTTTCTTTTGGACGTTCTTAAAGAAGTGTGGCGTTTGTTTGCTGGTTTGTTTGTTGTTTAACGCCGCACTCAGCAATATTCCAGCTACATGTATATGACGGCGGTCTGTAAATAATCGAGTCTGGACCAGACAATCCAGTGATTGATATCATGAGCATCGACCCACGCAATTGGGATCGATGACATGCATCAACAAAGTCAGCGAGCCGTTAGTCGCCTCTTAGGACAAGCATGGGTTGCTGAGGACCTGTCCTACCCCATATCTTCAAGGGTGGGTGGCGCTAGTAGCTCTGAGTAATGACATCGATAGCTCAGTGTTATGGTACTGGTAGTTCATGGTTGCGGCGCTGGTTCCTCGGAGTTGTGAAACTGGTAGCTCAAATGAGCTTCTATACCAAATAATTTTGTGATGTTCATGAGTATGCCAGCACCATGCGCGGACTTTCAACCGACATTTACAAATCTCATAACATGACATGACAGTGGGGCACATGTGACACTTGGCACTGGGGGGGAATAGCATTATTTAACTAAATTTATATGATTTGCTTCACTGTGACAGGAACTTTAGCAATCCAACCGAACGCTCTCTGTTTAAGGCATGTATGTGATTCAGTCTGGACAAATGTTAGGTCAGATGAAGACAGAGTTGACTTTTTTCAAAATAAGTGCTTGCTTGCACACCAACATAGAATCGCATGTAAGGTGAAGGTCAAGCAAATCTTGTACCAAATTCAAAAGTGTTTTCATAAAACACGTTTCAATCAAGTGACCTTGAGATCATTAAAGACATACAGTTTAAGCCCAGGCCCTGAAGATGTCGTGTACCAAGTGTCATTGACTTTCTGTAATTGCTTCTCCAATTATCAGGTAAACAAACCTTGAAGCTCTTTACAAGTGACTACTGTGTGGAAAATTTATTTGATTTAAATGGAAATATCATTGACAAAATCATGTCGATTAATAAATAGTATGGTACATTAATTGTCCAAATAATTCCAAGTTACAAAAACTAAACCCGCGGTGACGTTCAAATTCCAACAAAACGTTCCGTCTTCAGAAGGATTTATTAATACTGTGCGACGTCAGGCAATTCAATAAACAAACTCGTAAGAGGCGACTAACGGGATCGGGTGGTCAGGCTCGCTGACTTGGTTGATGCAACTCATCGATCCCAATTGAGTTGATTGATGCTCATGATGTCAATCAATGCATTGTCTGGTCCAGACTCGATTATTTACAGACCGCCGTCATTTAGATCGAATATTGGTGCCTGACCACCATCAAACCAAATCAGCGAGCCTGACCACCCGATCCCCTTAGTCGCCTCTTACGACAAGCATAGTCGCCTTTTACGGCAAGCATGGGTTGCTGAAGACCTATTCTAACTCGAATCTTCACGGGCCACAACAGTCAAAGCCTCTGTAAAGCAATTGTAGACGTATGGTGTTTTGATTTGACGGATGTCATTTTTTTTTGGTGTGAAATGTCATATTTAGTTCCCGTTGAGTTCGGATTTTGCAAAGAGTAGGGAAAATAACCCTATGTCTTGTCATCTTTCCTAAACTATAAATTTATTTCGATTTTAAAATTATGACACCTCCCCACCACAACCACCTAATCCCAACAACCACCAACCCACCCTCCAAACCAGTACTTTTTTAAGAATACATTTTATTAGTCAAAGTTAAGTTAACCTTTATATTCGACCACAAACTCAACGATTTATCTAAAAACTTGGTAACCCAATAAATGTAAAAATGGGCCTTTGTTCTCGTCACTGACCCAGTGGTCACAATGTAAGAGTTGACACACCTGTCTGTAATCAGTCTCAGGTTTAGTGTGCCCAATATCTGACCTCATTCCCGCCGCGTTTGCGTGGTAATACTTCTACTTTGAGTCTAGAGTGCATGAAGTTCGGGATTAAAAAACAGCATTAATTCTATTATCTCTCAACGTTAGATAAGGGGAATCAGGGTGTCCAAGACTGAGCTACTCGCTGTACAGAGTTGCGTCCCCCTACACTTCCAATATTCGCCCCGATTATACTCGTTGGTTTGCCAACACTAGTACTATAACCATGTTAATTGGTGTTGAATTGTGAACAACCTGTGGCACGTTGAGTCTCTATTTGTTGGATCTGTAGAATGCAATCCTTATTAAGAGGAGGAAAACACGCATATGTTAAAATATAATACCATACATATTGTAGAATATAAATATTTCAGGCCAAAACAAAATATAATTGTTGTTTTCAAACTGATCAGCAAACGAAATTATACCTCTCAGCTGATGTTATATGTTTGATTTATAATTGAAAATATCTTAAGTTAGCGATATCATCAACTGAACTGTACAGTACTAGCGCTGTCAGCACTCAAATAATACTTCTACATGGTTTTATTTTTATAAAATACAATTTGATTTAAAACTTTTAAATATTTTTAAAAAATTCTCACAATTCCCAACTGGTGATGGATATGTTAGATAACGTACCTTTGACAATCTTTTTATCGTTGTTGTTTTCGGCAAACATTTAAAACATTCCAGACACCTTAGGGGTCATGTGGATGCACATTCATTTCTTACCCGAGTTTTCATTGAACCAATTAAGTTTTACACAAAATTACCCAGCCAAAGGTTACTTATTTACAAACTGTTGATGGTTAAAATAGACTTACTCAAATTTAACCAGAGTTCTTTGAATATCCATTTATTAAAAAACACTCCATGTATTATATTTCCCCCCTTAGTTTATAATACTATACAGTTTGGAGAATAGACAAGTATATAAGATAAAAAGAACATTACATTGTTCTTTACAGATTTGGAAAGTTTGGGTTTCAAACCTGAAAACAAGTGTTCCAGAAAGAATATAATTCTTATTCTCCCAGGGTGCATTTAAGGAGGAATTCTCAACTCTAACAACCCCAGCGACCATGTTACAAGTGGTTTTGGTATTGGCTATTGGTAGCAAAAACACAATACACAATGTTAGCTCGATGAAATGTTTTTTTGTTTTTTTTGGCGACATACTGACAAGCGCATAAGAAATCCATTGTAGCGTTTTAGGCTAGGTGCTACTTTAGGTCTTAAATATTATCTCAATAATTATATTCCCCTTATAGGCAATGTTTAAAAAGTATAGTGAAAATCAGTCATAATCGATCTACCATAGATATTAAAAATTTCCCTGACGTGACATTTTTGCAGACATTCTATATCCATGAGAACTGGGCAGATGGGTGTAGATATCAGATAAGCCAAACGATACCTTCTGATCGGAATCGATACTGCAAAAGCCGCTGACAACCTACAGCTGGGTTCCGTGAACCAGGACAAATTAATTGTCAATCAGAACTTTCACTTTACATAAAATACCTTTTTAATTTTTAATACCTTTGTAACCTCATCGTAGTCACCGCCAGTGAGAAGTCAAATTATATTTGTACCGACTCTGATAACTTATTGTGGTAAACAAGATTTTAAATATTTGAGAGACAAACCGTTGACTTGCTATGGACAAAAGCACGTCATCTTTTGTTTTTCTTGCAATCAAATCACCGGCATTACGTTAACCGAGATAACTCAAGCATTATATTTGACAAGAACAAAATGTTTTGATTCGACAGGTTTTGGAAAATCCATAAAACAAGCTATAAAGTAAAAGCCTAACACTTATGCCCTGTTAACACACAGTGAGTGATTCAGATATGAGAGTGTATTTCTAAATAAGATCTTTAGAAGAGGATAGAGCGCTGATCAGGATATATTTTTCACAGCTATTTTGCCCTTCATGTTAGGGCATGCCATTTGTCGAAAACTGCCAGACATCAACATTGTGGTACTCAACCTGCTAGCGCAATATTGTTACAGTACTGTTACAACCATATCTATTGTACAGCGATGGTGTTTCAACGATTTCAAATTCAATATTACTGCAGTAGTTCAAATGTCAATTCAAGATATATTGAAGTATTTGCCGTTTAAGGGGGGAATTCATAACATGAGGATATTGTAGGTGGAATTGTCCTCTTACATAATCAAGCTGAATGAGTACTTGTAAGGGAAGTAGAAAGGGATATAACAGTCAGTGCTGACTACAGTTGTAGAGAAGTATGGTTGTGTATTCTTGTTGCAAGGTAAGGAAATCAACTGTAAAGTGTTGCAGGTGCAGATTGAGGAATATTGTGGTGTACTTGGGACAACAGAGATGAATAATGGTGTGAGGGGATATAAATAAAGCGACAAAACTCTTTCCATATCCAATATCTGCGTAAAGCGATTCCGACTATGTCATGAGCATGTGTTTATGAGTTACAATCAAAAAGTGATGATACTAGGTGTTCGCGAACAGGTGAGCGTATCCTGCCCCACTGTTGGCACCCATCATAAACACATGCAAAGGCAAGTCAATTGTTCACCTGGAAAAACACATGTCTACAATAAAACTTTTTGAAAGCTTTACTGAAGTCTTGAATGTTGTATCCTTGATCAAACAACTTCTGAGCAAGAGTGGTATTCAGAAAGCGGTAACATGGCCTTCGAAAGGGAATGTCATATGCTTTGAGGGGGAATATGTCTGATTCAAGATGGACTGTAGTTATCTGTAAGTAGATAATGCTTAACACTTTATTCTTCTGAAATGAACATATTCTAAAATTACATTTTGTCTTATAACATGTAATAGAGAGGACATCGTAGAATCTCTTCTTTCATTGACTGGAATTTGTTTTTGGACACTTTTGTTTCAGGGTCTGTATCAGAAAGTAAAGACATATACTAATGCTACTCCATGTTCATGCAGGAACACCAATGCCAACCAATGGGAAATGCGTCTTGGGCGCCATGACCTTTCTGCCACTGAGACCAGCACAATGCAGCACATTGGTGTAGATCAGGTCATCCACAGCCCTTCCTACAGCTCGAACACGTTGAGCTGGGACATTTCCCTGCAGCGGTTGGCCTCCAACCCAACTACCAAAGACTACGTGAGGCCTGGATGTTTCCCGATTGGTGACATAAGTCCTGGGGAAAATTCCTTCGTCAGCGGCTGGGGCGCCCTCACAGAGGGTATGGATCTGATCAAAAGTCATTCAAACTTAGTCCATTTCCCGTTTGTGAAAGTTCCTTTATATTAATCACAAAGCACAGAAAGGCTTCCAGGACGTCTACGAATAGATGGTGGATGTGACTCCGTAAAATGTCTTGTTAATCTCCAAATGTTTTAATCTTTTTGACTAGATTAGTGATCGGGTGAGTTTCGTTTTACGTCACTTTGAACAGCGTGTCATCCCTGAGGAGTGAGTGATTATGGTTTTACGCTGCTTTTAGCAATATTCCAGCAACATCAGCCGAGAAATGGGCTTCACACATTGAACCCATGTCGAGAATCGAACCCGGGTGTTCGGCGTGACGAGCGAACGCTTCAACCACTAAGCTACCCGACCGCCCCAAGCCCTTAGGAAGGAAAGCCAAAAGTTTCCCCAGATCGTAGATGTTTACAGTGGTACGGTTGCTAACCAACCAAGGAGCGAATTAGCGGCATTTGACTTTATATTCACTATAACTTTCAAATGATTTAAAGCCGACATTGTTGTTGCAGCTGCACGTTTGGTTACTCGCAGAAATAACGAGAGATATCGAAGTCGCGGGTTTTCTCCTAAATGGATACAATGTGTACGCCATTCTTGGCCGTGTGATATTGCTGAAAGCAGCGTAAACTCACTCACTCACTCAGGCACGCACGACGACTTTAATTTTGTTTCGATTCAGGTGACATGTACTTCTGTTTAAATTACCGGCGGTTCATCACCAGACAAGCTTCAGGTTGTGAATAAGCCTATTCTCACCCACCAGACATGCAGAGACCAACTGGGTTCCAACAGCTACTACGACAGCAACATGCTTTGTGCCGGTTTTGATGCAGGCGGTGCTGATGCCTGCCAGGTAACATCTGGAATCCGCACCCGACCTCCATGTCCTCTCATGAGCCTAGATGCGTGTGACACGAGGAATAATGTCACCAGTGACATACTGTAACGATCTGTGTAGACTGCTCATTTTTCGTTCTTAGGCCTCAAAGTGAGATCGACCATTCTGCTAACCTAATATGACATCGCATACGGCAGCTAAAGACACCATGACTAATAATATGACCATGTTGATCAGTTCCGAGAGTGTATGTAATTGATTCAACATTTCTGATAAATAAATGTTATGGATGAAGGCCCCTCGTCTGACATGTTTGCAGGTACAGATATTATTTGTAATGTACAGGCGGTTCACTAACCCATTGTCTACGTTATGTACAGGCGGTTCACTAACCCATTGTCTACGTTATGTACAGGCGGTTCACGAACCCATTGTCTACGTTATGTACAGGCGGTTCACTAACCCAATGTCTACGTTATGTACAGGCGGTTCACTGACCCACTGTCTACGTTATGTACAGGCGGTTCACTGACTTCTAATCATGGACCCTACTCAAGTTTCTTCTAATAATGGGTCTCACTGAAGTCACTTCTAATCTTGGATCATATTCAAGTTACTTCTCATCATGGACCCTTCTCAAGATACTTCTAATCATGGGTCCTACTCAAAGTACTTCTAATCATGGACCCTACTCAAGTTACATCTAATCATGGACCCTACTCAAGTTACTTCTAATCATCGGTCCTACTCAAGTTACTTCTTATAATGGGTCTCACTAAAGTCACTTCTAATCATGGACCCTACTCAAGTTACTTCTAACCATCGGTCCTACTCAAGTTGCTTCTTATAATGGGTCTCACTAAAGTCACTTCTAATCATGGACCCTACTCAGCGTACTTCTAATCATGGACCCTTCTCAAGTCACTTCTAATCTTGGGCCCTACTCAAGTTACTTCTAATCATGTACCCTTCTCAAGTTACTTCTAATAATGAGTCTCACTTAAGTCACTTCTGATCTTGGGCCCTACTCAAGTTACTTCTAATCATGGACCATTCTCTAGTTACTTCTAATCATGGACCCTTCTCAAGTCACTTCTAATCTTGGGCCCTACTCAAGTTACTTCTAATCATGTACCCTTCTCAAGTTACTTCTAATAATGAGTCTCACTTAAGTCACTTCTGATCTTGGGCCCTACTCAAGTTACTTCTAATCATGGACCATTCTCTAGTTACTTCTAATCATGGACCCTTCTCAAGTTACTTCTTATAATGGGTCTCACTTAAGTCACTTCTGATCTTGGGCCCTACTCAAGTTACTTCTAATCGTGGCTCATACTCAAGTTACTTCTAATCATGGACCCTTCTCAAGTTACTTCTTATAATGGGTCTCACTTAAGTCACTTCTGATCTTGGGCCCTAGTCAAGTTACTTCTAATCATGGACCCTTCTCAAGTTACTTCTTATAATGGGTCTCACTTAAGTCACTTCTGATCTTGGGCCCTAGTCAAGTTACTTCTAATCATGGACCCTTCTCAAGTTACTTCTTATAATGGGTCTCACTTAAGTCACTTCTGATCTTGGGCCCTAGTCAAGTTACTTCTAATCATGTACCCTTCTCAAGTTACTTCTTATAATGAGTCTCACTTCAGTCACTTCTGATCTTGGGCCCTACTCAAGTTACTTCCAATCGTGGCTCATACTCAAGTTACTTCTAATCATGGACCCTTCTCAAGTTACTTCTTATAATGGGTCTCGCTTAAGTCACTTCTGATCTTGGGCCCTAGTCAAGTTACTTCTAATCATGGACCCTTCTCAAGTTACTTCTTATAATGGGTCTCACTTAAGTCACTTCTGATCTTGGGCCCTAGTCAAGTTACTTCTAATCATGTACCCTTCTCAAGTTACTTCTAATCATGGACCCTTCTCAAGTTACTTCTCATAATGGACCCTTCTCAAGTTACTTCTAATCGTGGGCCCTACTCAAGTTACTTCTAATCATGGACCCTTCTCAAGTTACCTCTAATAATGGACCCTTCTCAAGTTACTTCTAAACATGGACCCTACTCAAGGGACTTCTAATCATGGACCCTTTTCAAGTTACTTTTAATAATGGGCCTCACTGAAGTCACCTCTAATCATGGATTATACTCAAGTTACTTCCAATCATGGATCATACTCAAGCTACTTCTAAGCATGGACCCTTCTCAAGTTACTTCTAATCATGGATCATACTCTAGTCACTTCTAATAATGGGACAGACTCAAGTGTCGTCTAATCATTGATCCGACTGATAAACATGTCACAGCGGGAAACACCTGAATGGGCTTATCTCCATGTGGAGAATCATCTACACGGTTATCTCGCTCGGGTTACTATCTCTCCAGTTAGGGTTAGTTAAATGTGTATAGTTTTCAATATTTCACAGTCCTCACTTCGCCACTCAAGTGTCAGAACCTGACATATTTTTGATATTACGGCCTGTCCACAAGCAACGGACTTCACACGTTGGACCCATGGGAGGAATCAAACCCGGGCCTTCAGCATGACGAGCGAACGCTCCAACCACTAGGCTACCCCACCGCCCCAATATAATCTTGGGTTGGAAGTCTTGAAAATGATCTTGGCTGACACGACAGACATGACCAACGAATTTGCCATCATTGGCTATCAAACGCAATGTCATAAACCGTTTGTTTATAAAAGTAACTTTCACAGGAATATAAAAGGTCCCTCATACAAGATACAGTTATCCTCCAGACGTGAGACTGGTTATATGCTTCAAGTGAATTCCTGATGAAGGTCCGTAGAAAGATTAAATTTAAAACGTCTCAATTATCCTACAAAACAGATTATGTTGAGCGCAAAAGGCGAAATAGCGGTGAAAGGCCTTCAGCGTGACGAGAGAACGCTATTACCACTTGGCTATCCCACCGCCCAAATATAGTCTAGGGTCGTTAGTCTTGAAAATACCCTTGCTGACACGAGAGACATACATGGCCAACGAATTTGTCATCATTTTCTATCAAACGCAATTTCATAAACCGTTTGCTCATAAAAGTAACTTTTACGGGAATATAAAGGGTCTCTCATACAAGATACAGTTATCGTCCAGCGGTGGGACTGGTTTATGCTTCATGTGTATTTTTGCTGTAGATACGTAGACATCAAGGCGGAAGAATAACCAGTCTCGATTATCCAACAAAACAGATTTCATTGGGCGTAAAAGGCTAAATAGAGGTAGGCATCGCATGACATCCGTGATGACACCTTCAAATAACTTGTCCTCGGATTTACCCAAGAAAATAACTTGTTCATTACACGTTCGGTGTTCTCAAAGTAAAAGTGTGTTGTGGCATCCGTGATGACACCTTCAAGAAAATAACTCGTTCATTACACATGCTGGATGTTCTAAAAGTACAAGTTTCCTAACCTCAGACTTTCTAACCCTTGTCACTTCGATCTTTTATATTCGCGTGTAATTATGCAGGGTAGAATTCAGATATCCACGTGGTGTGTACCATGTAAATATTAGCGACAAAACCCTTTCCATTTTTATCAGAAAGCTCTACCAAAAGCAATGTCGATTGTATGATTCCGACCATATATACCATGAGCATATGTTTTTGAATCCATATCAAATAGTGCTGAAACCGTTTGAGCGTATCATAGTTTTATAGGTCTGTTTGTATCTACCTGAGAAAACGTCAGACGGAGCCGTGGCTGTAATGGACCAATGAACAGCGTGGAAAAAACATTACGGCTATAAATACGATACTCAATACCATTCCGTGTGTTTCAGGAATAAGGATTAACCTGTAGACATGACCACGTACTGTCTCATCGCATTCCTTGTTGCGGCAGGTGAGTTGGGACAGTGGGGAGATAGGCCATTGACAAAGACAGTGTCAGATTTCAGTTTTGAGAAGAATGTTTACTTTCAGTGAGGGCATTTTTTGTTTGACAAATTTTGAAAAGATTGAAAAGGTTCATGAGTCATATTTCTTGCAATTTGAAAATTTGCTTCGAATAATGGCAAACATATATCTGATGTCAGAACATTTTCCTTTGGTTTTTCCTGTTAAGTTACCCAAGAACTAGAATTAGTTATCATTTGATTCTACCTTTAAACAAAGACTCATCGATATTTCTGTTCAAGGTTTGTCAGAAAGTATTCGATCTCGGTTTCTTTCAAACTATGCTTCCATAAATTCTGTGTTTGAATCTTAGAAATATTCAATATTAAATAACAAAATCATTTCTACGAGCGATTTGTAAGTTTAGAATTTCTTTACAAAGAAAACAATGTTTGCTACATACTTACGTCAATCACCAAGTGATGTACAATTTACTTAACTCCAAGTATGTAAATACCTTTAAGTCGGTAGCTATCTTATCAAACACATGTTCTATAAGATTTCTAAGCGTTGTTAGTTCAGTAAATGCCCCGTCAGTTAGGTGACTACAACTATTTTTTTGTTTATACAATCGTAATCAGGGCCACATGCCCGAAATAGTGAATAAACACGTCTGTCTCAAAGAAAACAGCTGAGTTTGAGAATCTGTTTGAAAATTCAGCTGTCAATGTATTAATAAGAGCTAATTATTGAAGGGTGATAAATATTTCTGTTACTTCATCATGATGTTGTCTCACAGTTTGTTATTTCTGGCAACTATTTGACCTACACAGCCAACTCTGCCTTCCGATGATACTGTTCCTATAAATATAAAACGACAACACCAGAGAATACCCAGTCTCGATTATCTGCCGAATTAGGTTCCATTGGGCGTAAAGACAAAATTGTGGTGAACATTATATGAATGGATCACTTAAATTAGTGATGTCAGAAGGATATTAAAATCATTGTGTTATATACACCGTGTCATCCCACACCAACATAACCACTACATCTACGCTGAACCCTATTCTTTGGGCTAAATATGTGTAAATGTCGTTAATATATATCCAAGATATTTTTTTACTCTAGCGGAGTTGCCTCCCATAGCCCTACCAGGATCTGTTGGGCATGCGTTCGAATCTAATATTGTCAGCAACACACTCGCTGTACAAAGATGGTACCACCAACAGCCTTGGTCGAATTGGTCTTTAA